TAATTGGACACGGCATAGCCGTATCCGACACGTATCCCTGCCGTATCGGAGGCGTATCCGTATCCGACACATATCTGATATAGCATGCCTCATAAATAGGCGTATCCGTGCAACATAGCTCCTATCTCTTTGTTTGGCTAATTTATACATATATCTTTCTCCCTCCTTAATATCTAATCTTTTATATAAATCACTTAAAGCTAAGGTCTTTGCATCGCATATTGCTTTTTTAGATTCCTTACGAGCCTCTTTATATCTTTCCCAATTATCAGAATTTTTGAAACTAAACCAATTTTTATAACAAATCTTATTTTTAATCTTTTCTTGCACAATTGGATTCCACCACCAACTATTTTTACTATTAGGAGTTTTTCCCTTTGATACTCCAAGCACATCTTTTGCAATATTCTTAATATCACTAGCCACTTCATCCCACATAACATTAGCATCCTCATGCACAGATAAAATCTTAAGATCTAAAATCTTACTCTCAAAAATATTTTTATTAATATTATTTAAGTGTCCCCATCTAATCCTATAATACCGTTATACTTTATTTTTTATTTTCTGTCCCTTTATCTTAAAGTCCAAAATTAATAATCGATGTTGGGTACATAAATTTTCACTCAGAATAACTTTATAATCTTTGCAATCAAAACGATCTTATTTTCTTATAAGAAAATAATCAATCTGAGTTGTACTATATCCATTTTTATAAGTGATGAGATGCTCATTCTTTTTTTTAAATAAGGTATTAGCAATTAAAAAATCATAAGCTAAACAAAAATCTAATATGTTCTTGCCTCCTTTATTTGTCGTTTCAAACACATGGCCACCTTAAATGTTTTTAAAATCATCTACCTCTCTACCAACATGTTCATTTAAATCTCATCCGATAAAAACTCTTTTTTTAAGAGGTATCTTTTGTATTAATTCTTCTAAGTCATTCCAAAAATTTAATTTAGAACTCATATCCCAACCTACTTGAGGAGTAAGCACTTATAATATTAAAAATCTTAGCATCAATAATAATCTTTAAAGCTATAATTCTATCTCCAATCCTATTAATTTTTATAACATTATCCTTCAAACTCTTATCTATAATAACACCTACACTATTTCTAGTAGGGGTGTCAATTCGGGTCAGCTGGTCGGGTTTGGGTCGAACCCAAATTGACCCGGCTCTAAACAGGTCAACCCGAACCCGACCCATTTTTGTAAACGGGTCAGCTTTTTCAACTTGAACCCGAACCACGCGGGTTGCTGGGTTTACACGACCCAACACAGATTTAAAAAAAAAAACTTAAACAATTGGGTTCTCGTTCAGGACGCGGCAAGGCCGGTTCTGGACGCGCACAAGCTTCAGCTGCAAGGACGGTTCGGGATGAGGCAGGCGCACCGCGGCAGGGCAAGCACGCACGCGGCAGCTGCAGGGGGTCTTCATATAAAATATAAAAAAGACACACTATATGAAGTGAAATCAAAATATCCCAGTAATAAGACAACATAAAATATAGTTCAACTCAAACTCTATCTTTCCCAAATCACAGTATTCTTTTCATTAATATATAATTCCAAAAGTAAATAGCAATGACATATCATGTAAGAACTCATAAGCCATCAGGAATATCATCACTAAGGGGGTCTTCATTTGAATCATCATTATAATGAAGTGCTCTCCCCTTCCTCCTCTCCTATAGAGTCCAATATCTCCCAATCAGCTCCTTCCTCAATATCAATCATCTTCCTCTTCCTAAATATTTTTGAACAATATTAAAATGAATAATCGTGTAAAACATTAATAAAAGTCTAAAAAAAATTATTATTTATATATCTTTTTTGATTTGTTCTTGAGTTGTGGTGGATGCAGATGTTTTATGACCATCAAAGAAATCAACATTTAAATCTTCATCTTGTAATTCAAACGGCATCACTTCAACTTCATCATCTACAAATCACTCATCATCAGATGTCACATCCTCACAAAGTAAAAGATCTTCATCATCCATTAATCCTTTTTTCTTCAAGTTCATGTCACTGAGTCTCTTATTATACATAATGTACACCAGTGAATTTATCCTCAATGTCGACAAACAATTTCTCCTCTTTGCATGTACTTGGTTGCAGATACTCCAATTTCTTTCACAGCCATATAAAGAACATGTCAAGTATAAAAGTTTCACAGCAAATGCTGCAATTCTAGAGTACCATCACCCTCATACTTGACCTAGTAAACTCCACTCACATAGCCAAACATCCCACCTCTCATGCATCCCAAACCCTTCTTCTCATCACACTCAGATCTCCTACTCCACTTCTACCTCACATGAATACAAACCCTAGCCTGATCATGCTCGTATAGAAGTTGCTACCTCTCCATTTCTCTTCATGAACTCTTGCATTAATCAAACTCACAACAACTACTAACCGACACACAAGGCCTCACTCCCTCTCCCTTTTTCATCCTAAACCACCTTCTATAGCCCATCTCATTTCCTCCTCATGCAACTAAGGTAAAACTAGAGCATTCCAACATTTCTCCACCAATTCCTATTTCCTCCTCATGCACCTACAATAAACCCACAACCTCCCAACACTTCTCCTATTCCTCACAGGCTCACACTAAATCGAAGCCATTTCCTCCTTCCACTCCCTAAACATAGAGAGGTCCTCCCCCACCAATCCCTCATCCTCTCTTCCACTCGCTCTCTAAACCAGAGAGAAGAACCTCTCACTTCCTCTCCCTCTCTACCCTCACTCTCTCTCTAATCCTCTCTCTCTAAATAGAGAGCAACAAAATACATCCGCCTATACACTATACATTTAGGTAAAAAAAAGAGCAAAGGTAGAAAAACAAAAAAAAGAAAGAAATAAAAAAGAAAGAATAAGTTGTCTTGCAACCTTGTTATCTTGACATTGTCGTCGCCATCGCCTCGCTCATGTAGGTATGATTTCAAAAATCCCTAAATTAGTACATGTTCATGTTGTTCCAATGTAGTGGAGAAACCTGTGAAAAAAAATACCTATTCACATTGTTCCAACATAGTGGGGAAGTTTGCAAAACTTAAGTAGTGCATGTTTTTCGAACGTAGTGGAAAAACATATCAATCTGAACTAGTCTATAATTAGACAACCTTTCTTGCAATTACACACATATTTCATATCATAATAATAATATATGCATCATGTATCATACAGTATTCAATGCAGTTAATATGTAGAATATTATACTATGTTATCAATAATATACATATTTTAATAAAAGTGTACTCATGTCAATATACATGCAAGTCATCTAAGTTGTACCAGATGCATGTTATGCCAAATACACTGACTTACTATGCATGTTATATATGTCAATTATACAATAAAAGTTCATTATATCAGGAGATAATACATTTTAATCTGATTTGGGAGAGAGAAAATCAAAACAAAATCATTGATAATAGAAATATAATTCAGATACCTACCACGATCGGAAAAACTTTTATAACTAGAAGAACGGATGAAAATGGCTATGGGGCAGTTGTCTCTTATGTTCTCTCCCCCTTCTCCTCCTTTTCCTTCCCAACCAAGAAATTGAATGGAGGGTGAGGTATGGCTTTGGTACTTAAATTATTGCGTGGATTGAGACATTTAAAAAATGATTTTTCAAATCCAGCATCGTAACACTCAAGACCATAGCGCCGTAGAACACCCACTCAAAACCTTAAACCAAAGAAGCTGGCGCCGTTGTACCTACACGACCAGAATCTTCTACACAAAGAGGTCAGAATCGCTGCACTCGCAAGCATAGTGTTGCTACGCACCAAAACAAATTTCCTTACATTCATGAATTTTCATGAGGATCGTTAACAGGTTATGAATAGGCTTTTGATCATAAAAGAATTAGTCTATAAATATCAACCTATATTTATAAGCATTAAAAGACTAATTTTTAAAAGACAAAATTTGAGAGAAAAAAAGGGAGAGAAAGCGGGAGCTAGTGGACACCAAAAAGAAGTTCCAACCATATATTTTTTTAATGTCTCATCTATGCATAACCATGTCATTGCTGATCATATAAGTTTTCAAATGAAAAATAAAATATAAAATGTATTTGAAATATTGAAATTATATGATCATTACTGGGCTCTTGGAATTATAATTTTACCTTAATTATCTTCATCCACATGATGTGCTACATTACTAATTCTATTAAGTCTTGATAATTCAATTAAGATTCATGAATTTTTTTTTTTTTTTTTGATAGAAAAGTACCCCTCAAACTTAAGGGAAAATTCTATAAGATGGTAGTGAGGCCTGCAATGCTTTATGGTGCTGAATGTTGGTCATTAAAAGAGAATCATAATACTAAGTTAAGTGTGGCAGAGATGAGGATGCTCAGGTGGATGAGTGGCTTTACCCATAGAGATAGGATATGAAATGAGCATATACGTGAAAAGGTTGGAGTAGCTCCAGTAGAAGATAAGATTAGAGAGAGTCGCCTTAGATGGTTTGGTCACATAAAACGGCAGCCTTCCAATGACCCGGTTAGGAGAGTAGAGGTATTAGATTTGACTTATGTTAAGAAAGGTAGAGGCAGACCTAAAAAGACTTGGTTAGAAAATATTATGAATGACCTTTATTTATTAAATTTAAACAAGAATTTGACCTTTAATAGGACACAATGGAGAAAAATGATTCATGAAGCCGACCCCACATAGTGGGATAAAGGCTTGATGTTGTTGTTGTTGTAGTGATTGGAAACACTTCAAATTCAAAGATATTTTCACTTCAAGTAAAAAGTCCACTCAATTCAAAGATGAAAAAGAAAAATGAATAAATTAATAGTTTTGCTACAAAAAATGTTCCGTACAATGCTCTACATATTAGATTCAATTGCATTAGAAAATAGTCTCTCCTATTAATATCCGTGGAAAAAACAAGGTTAAGAAAACCATTTACAAAATAAGCAGTACGTCTATGTAAGGAATTAATGGCATGCTATAGTTCATTACCCTCCAGATAGACCAAAATATGCATTCAACTGAGAGACACTCCAACTAGTGCCATCTCCTTCTCCGGATTCCTTAATTGCCTGATGCACAAGAGCACAAGAAGCAATATGTGCACCCGCAGATTGTCCCATTAAGTAGATCCTACAGCATGGAATTTTTCATAGAAGTAAGAAAGTATTCATGTAGAATGCATTTAGTACAAGAGCAATGTTTTTTTTTTTTTTTTTTTGCATGCCTTTCATGGATTTTTCTAATAGTCTGCATAGCTTTCATAAAAATTCTAGAATCTAATAGTTTGTTACTTATTGTTGCTTATTTTAGGCTATGGTGCAAATGGAGCTATTATACATTACCGCCCAAATCCTGAGAGTTGTAGCATTGTTGGTGACAAAAATCTCTTCCTTTTAGATAGCAGCGGTCAATATGTTGATGGTACTACTGACATTACACGAACGGTGCATTTAGGTGATCCTACTGCTAGGCAGAAAAAATGCTTCACTAGAGTTTTAAACGTAATTTTTAATTTCTTTCACAATTTTCATTGAAAATGTAATATAAATCAATTTAATTTTTTCATTTGTCAAGTTTTGCATTATAGAAAATTAGCTTTGAAATTTAAACATATAAGACATAATTTCAATCCAATAGCATGAAAAAATGTTAAGAAGATTGAATGCATCCGTCAAATTTTAAATTATGAAATGCATGCTACTTATCAATTTACTGCACTGTTTTCATTTTTTATTTTCTCAAACTTAAATCCAGTGGAAAAGTTGGTATCAGCTATCAAGGACGAAAACTTAAGTCATGAACAAACAGCAAGTACCGCAACATCAAAATTATGAATTTTTTATTTTATCATACAAGAGAAAAACACCTAATTTAACTATATAAGTTCAACAGACACAAATGTAGCACGCACTAGGGAAGCAAGACCACATTTATACACAAACCTAGAAATATTAGTAGGAAGTTTAGGCAGTAGAAGGTTCTCAGAAATAATGTTATTAGTGGCAATCCATGCAATAATGATGCCATCACATTCTTCGTTCCATCTTTTTCTTGATGCATACTTTAGTTCCAAAAATGACAGTAAAACGGGTTCTATCAATGTGAATGCATGCCAACCCTAAAGACAATTCAGGAGTCAATCAACTGGTATAAAGATGCATGATCTGGTATACGTATAAGCTGGTACACTCGTGCATGTCTGTATATGCTATTAGCACATGATATGGCGTCAACCAAGAAAAAGTTTCAAAAAGAACATCTTGACAAATGAAAAGAAAAATAAGAGCCATCATTTTTAGAAATAAATGTTACTTGCCGGTCCGGATTGCCTCCATAGCTAGCAATATTATTGCAAACAAATGATATTCCTTCAGAAGCATCTTTTACCATATCACTAATGGTACCTTGAGGAAAATTTCTGCCAAAGGAAAACAACAAAAGTACACATAAACAAACAATTATTAGCCTATATCAGTGTAAAAATAAGTAGTTGGGAGCACAATAAATAAAAACCCAACTAAGTACCGGTAATCTATGCATGCAACAATTATTCCTCTTTCTGCCAGCCGCCTCCCCAGTAGAGAACCCCAAGCTTTATAACTGCAAAATGAATATTCTACAAGTCAAGACCTTTTAGTGCTCCATTTGAACCAAAAGAAACAAAATCTTTTCTTTTTTTTTTCTTTTTTTTTTTCTTTTCTTTTATATGAGCATGCACGCCAATGATTACAAACCCAATAATCCAGGCTCCTCCAGTCACAAATGCCACGACTGGCTTTGAGCCATTGCTGTCTGTAGGTAAATACAGATCCAACCTGCATACAGAAGATACATGCCTGGGTAAGCAAAAGAAAAAGGAGTAGGAAGACTGTACACAAGTAGCGATGAACAGAACATCTTATATTAATTTATAGAGTTCAGTACCGGTTTCTTGGCTGGTCACCATAAACTATGCTTCGACGGACCTGACTAGAGAAGAAATAGTAGTAACCAACTACCATGAACAAACATGTCAATCTCCACGGAAACACTATTTATCTAACAAAATGGTTCAAAACTTACGAAACAAAACAAAAGCATACATTCTCATCAATCAGAAAATTAGCAAACTACTACATAATCCAGAAGTATGTAAGGTGGTTAAAAGCCAAAAAAAAAGACATCTTAATCAGATCCCGACCATATCCTTGTGCACAAAGAACACTTGATTAATTAGCCAATAAATACTAACACTTAATTAAGTTAATTGAGAAATCCTTACCCTGTAGAAATCCAGGCATAAGAAGAACAGCATAAAAAACAAGGGCCAAAAACTTTGTGATCCAGCGATACCCTACACTGAATGAAATTAAAGAATCAGAAAAAATATCATGCTGTGTAAGGTACACTGCTAAAATTTTACATTAATTGAAGAATGCGTTTAAAAAGAAAATGTGATAAATTCATATTTTTAATCCATAGAAACCTACAATAGGTGCCACTGAAATGGGATAAAGGACATCTGATCTTAGTAGTACCCTCACTGAACATCCCAAATATGATTAGATCTAAGGCTAACAATCACACATGAAGGATATTTCTACAAATAAGCATTCATAAATACCCACTATGGCCAATTTTAGATTAATCGGAAAGTTGTTCTACCTATGATACACCGACACACTTCTTAAAGAGGAAATGCAGTGTCTGACACGGACACATGTTGGACAAGGCCGACACGGACACATGTTGGACAAGGCCGACACGTGTTCAATTATTTAACTTTAAATTTGCATGCATGTCCTATTGATAATAATTTTTTTAAATTACAAAATTTTTATATTTTATATTATTTTAATCAAATAAAAGATCTTTAGGGACATTTGAGAACCGCATATGCATTAATACAAGCCAGATTGCTCGTATGCCTTAGGGATTTCTCTCTACACTATCGCTCTCCATCGTCTTCTTCATTTGCGCAATCAAGAGAGCCGACCAAGCGTAGAGATCGCATGCTTGGAGCCCAGAACCTCCTCGTCTGCTCGTCTTCTTCGAGTCTACATCTTTTATGCGACGAGGTGAGCCCTTTAAAAAATTTAGCATTATTGTTTGATAATTAAATATTTTAGATTATGCTACACATCTAAATAAGTTGGAATAATGTAGTTTTCAGCATGGAGTTTTAATCTAAGCAAAAGTGTGTATGATTGCCTAATGCTAAGTCTTTTTATCTTCCATTTCATTAGTTTTTTTTAAAGCAAAATGAGCTCTAATGGTGGTGGGACTGGAAGTGGTGAAGGTTTAACAGAGCCTTCTGTAGAAGCCAATAAGCCCTTATGGGATCATGTTACAAAGTTAGGAAAAAATTTTATGGTGGAGAAGATGTGTCATTCAAATGCAATTAATATGGTGTCTCTTACAAATGATTATATCCTAGGGTGAAAGCACATCTACTTAAAATTTATGGCCATGGAATTAAACTGTCCTAAGATTACTATTTCACAATTGATAGAATTGAACAGACAAGTTGATAAAGCTAAATCAATGATCAAGAGGACACTTCCTAAACAGATACATTTTCCCTCTACTCATGAGTCATCCCACACTGTTTTATCTTCTGTTAGAGTTGCTCATATTGGTTCATTTAAAAGTAAAGAATATGAATCCAAGAAAAAAAATGAGTTGCAAGTAGTTCCTTAGAGAAAACTTTTAATATGCAAATGCGAGAGCAACTAGATGATGAAATTGAAATGATTTTTTTTTTCAACTAGACATCCTTTCAAATTGGCAAGGAATCCTTTTTATGAGAAAGCATTTACTTTTGCATGCATTAACAACCTTGCAGGTTATGTTCCACCTGGATACAATGCAATAAGATCAAAATTATTAGAGAGAGAGCGCAAATATTGAGACATTACTTGAACCTACGAAATGAGTGTGAAAAAAAAAGTGTCAGTTTAGTGTGTGATAGTTGGACATATCCTCAAAGAATATCACTCATCAAGTTCATGACTGTTATAGAGAATTATCCAATGTTCATCAAAGCTGTGAATTGTGAAGGGCAATAAAAAGATAAATATTTCATTTCTAATTTGATTAAAAAAGTGATAATGATGATTGGGCAATCAAATATTGTGCAGGTTATCACTGATAATGCACCAGTATGTAGAGTTGCAAGATTATTGATGGAACAAATATATACTCATATCTTCTAGACTCCATGTATTGTACACACTTTAAATCTTGCTCTAAAAAATATTTGTGCAGTCAAAAATACAAAGACTAATGAAATCATCTACACTAAATGGCATTGGATAAAAGTGGTTGCAAGTGACGCTATTCTAATAAGAAATTTCATTACAAACCACTCAATGAGACTATCCATCTTTAATGATTTCTCACATTTAAGAATGTTAGCTATCGTTGAAACTCATTTTGCCTATGTAATAATCATATTAAGAAGATTCAAATAAATAAATAAAACTCTTCAATTTATGGTGATTAGTTAGTGGGCTTGCTATCGAGAATATGACATTGGGAAGGCAAGATATATAAAAGAAAATATCTTAATGATTTGTGGTGGGATGATGTTGATTATATTTTGGCTTTTACTGATACAATTTATGATATGTTAAGAGAGGCAGAAAACGATAAATCATGCCTACATTTGATTTATGAGATGTAGGACTCCATGTTAGCTAAAGTGAAAGAAATTATATACAGACATAAAAGAAAGGCACAAGATAAAAACTCAAATTTTTGGAGATTGTCTATACTATTCTTGAGGATATGTGGAGCAAAAGTAATGCACCTCTTTATTTTTTGGCTCACTCATTAAATCCAAAGAAAATTTGAATATATCTTTTAAATTAATCTTTAATTTGTTGGCTAAAGAATTAATAATTTTACTTTATTTATGTTCTTTGAAAATATTCAAGTAAAGAATGGCTTCAAGAAGACCCTCAATGTGTCTCACCATAAAAAGATTTAAAAATTTCAAATAAGATAAAGATATGTTTGAAATAATATTTTCCAAATAAGGAGGAGAGAAGAAAGATTAATATAGAACTTGCAAAATTTTTTGAATATTTAGAGGATTTTGGTGATCAAGAATCTTTGGTTCATTCATGGAGGATAGATCCAAAGATGTGATGGTTGATTCATAGAGCTTCAACAGTGCTACTTCAATCAATAGTAATAAAACTTCATGGTCAAGTTTCATCCTCCTCTTATTGTGAGAGAAATTAGAGCACATACTCATTCATTCAATCGATGAATAGGAACAAAATTACTCCACAATGGGATGAATATTTAGCTTATATGCATACAAATTTTCATCTTCAATCAAGAAAGACTTATTTTATATAGTAGGTGATAACAAGATGTGGGATGTTGCTGGAGATGAATTTGAGTCTCTTGATTATATGGGAATATTGGAGACTACAAATCTTTTTTTTTAATGAACAAGAGTTAGAAACAAATGATATTCAATGATGATGATATTGAAGGCAAAAGACAAACCTTTGAAGCTAATCCTATTATTCCATTTACTAAGTACTTGAAGCTTGAATGCTTAATGTTATAGTAAATGGTTATTTGCTTATGTTTGTGTGATAGTATTAGACATTTTGTACTAAATATTTTATATTACAAGCTAAACAAGTTATCATGATATTCATTTATTACTGTTTGTCATTTCTAATATGATGTTACATTAATTTATATACATTATATAAAAAAAATTGTAATGACATGTTAATGTCGTACCCATGCCCTATAATTTAAAAAAAAGACATGTTCGTGTCGTTTTATGTCCGTGTGTTACAGAACTAACTAGACCGACCCAGGAGGGGCCAGTCCAATTCTACAGGAGGCGGGCTAAACCGCCTCCTTAATTGGTTCGGCCAGCAGGTGGGCCCCCCTTGAGGCAGCAAACAGGAGAAAGAGAAAGGGGCAACTAATGCATAAGGAGAGTTTTTGAAATTGGTTTATTTTAGGATGTTTTTTATTAGGAAGATTTTCATTTAAGGATGAGGTGAGGCTAGAGTTAGGGCATGCAAAATTTTGGATTTCCCCTGGAGTCTCTTTGGCGTCTTGGGCTCTAGGCTTCTTGTCTAGAGATTGCGAGAGAACGATACTCCTCTTGAATTGAGGATCAATTGTATATTTTCTTCATTCTTATTTCGCTTTGCTTGCTATAAGATTATCTATCGTTTGATTATTCTTCCACCATTTTTTTTGGTTTTTCTCGTTGTTTTACCGATTATTGTTAGGTTTTCTTGCGAACTCAAGTATTTCCCATTAGGGTTACTTGTGAACTCAAGTATTTTCTATCAAATTGGTATCATAGCAAGTTTTGGGACCAGTGGAGGGCTGTGTTCGACAAATTCCACCAGCTGTTTTTGGTCTGGAAAATAGAGTTATTGTCTTTGGAGACCCAAATTCATATTTTGTGAATTTACAAACTCTGGATAGTGATGGAGGCCAAGAAGCTGGATGTTTTGGAAGAAAAACTTGAAGGGGAGATGAATCAAAGTAAGACAATTGTGGAGGAATGGATTAACTCCATGGAAGGACAAGTAGCCGATCTCCAAGACATGATGAAAAAATATTGAAAAACCACAACCAAATGGCAGCTTCCGTGGCAAAAGGTGTGGAAGGTAAAAGAATGAATTCTGAAATCCATAGGGAGAAAGATGATGTGGAAATTATGGAAGGAGAAAGAAGCAGACCCCATCTGGAGCCTATCCAGAGGGAAGAAACAGGTGGATATGGGAAACGCCATGAGGGATACTATGGCCGCCGAGGTGATTATTTCAAAGAAAGAAGGGGGGAATTCGAAGGGCTATGGTAGGGCAAGGAAAGACCGGAAGACTTGGGGAGGGTCTAGCACTTGGCAGAGGGGAAGCTATGGAAGAATAAGGGGAAATGGTGGTGAATAGAAGGTTAGGAAGCTGATGATGCCCATATTTGAAGGAGACGATGTGTATGGATGGATTTATAAGGTGGAGACATAGTTCACAGTCAATGGGCTAACAAAGGAGGAGAAGCAGACAGAAGCAGGCTTGTACTTGAAAGGGAAGGCTCTGTCATGGTATCAGTGGAGAGACAATAAGAGACCTATCAGGAAATGGAGGGAATTTAAGGATTGCATAATATAACGTTTCCAAACTGATCGGGGAGGAGATTTCTATAAGCAGTTCTTTGCTCTGACACAGGAGGGATAAGTAGCAGACTACGGAGAGCGATTGACCATCTGGCAGTTAGGGTGGAGCTATTATCAGATACTTTATTGGAAGGGAACTTCATGAAGGGTTGAAAGCAAAGATCCGAGCAACAGTGAAGGTTCTGATGCCTCT